GAGTAACCAACCTTATGCCTCAGTTAATATGCCCATTTTAATAAGCCAGTGCCAGAAAAAAAATCATACTTTAGTTTGAAAAATGTTAACTGAAGAAATTCAGTTCAGTTTATTTGTAGTCGTCGTCTCCTTGCCTCATATTGTTGTGTATGCTTCTTTTAACATTTTCAAGCATAAAATTCAATATGCTTAAGCATATCTTTTTTTATGTTCTTGATAAAAAAAAATTCACATCACACTCGCTGCTCAACAGAAGAGTAATTTTCAAATGCTTTGTCTTTCAATTTCCTATTCATTTTTTTTCTTCACCGCTGCACGTTTTTTTTTCTCTCTACATTTCTCTCGTTCCTCTCGGCTCATTGCGTTCAAAATAACACACAAAAAATGGCATCGTGTATGTATGAAACACGCCAGAGAAATTGTTTGAAATGGATACAAAAACATAAAAAAAGAGAATAAAATGATAACTCCAAAAGAGGAATGGTCGAATGGCAAATGAACGAAGAAAAAAAAGTTAAATACATCTGGTTCAGTGCTGGATAGGAATAAATTGAAGAAAAGATGAAATAAAAAGAGGTTGTCGCGCCATCACGACACACTGCCCTCGTGTTTGTATAGTGCTACACGAAAAATAGAGAGAGAGAGAGAGAGAGAGAGAGAGAGGGAGAGAGAGACCGGCTGAGAGACATTCACGTACTTTTAACATAATTCATGAAATGTCATGTTCTCGAGTAAAATATAGCCGTTCGGTAGCATTTCTAGTTTTCTGAATATTCTATTTTGTTCGCAATCATTTCCACTCTTTCTCGCTCATTCACTTTGCTTATCGCTCTTCAATCGTTGTTACGGTTTTCACTGTTCGTGCATGTGCGTTTTCTTGATTTTCAGCTCTGAATTCCGTGGTGACGAATAGACTTCACACACTTGACCCTGTAGAAAAAGCAAACGAAATAAATAAACATTCACATATTTCCACACGCTCCCTCTCCCTTTCTCAGCCCCCATTTCTCTTTCTCTCTCTCGCATAACAATGAAACCTTAAGCTTAAGCTACAGAATTTCAATTTGTGCCATTTTCATGTGAGTCTTTGCTTTTCCATTCCTTTCTTTATTTCTCTCAGTGATGCCGTACGAACAAACGAACACCACATCACCAAAATACAAAACGATGAACACACGATTGATATAATGCGCAACACAATAAATCGACTTACATATGCAATAGCCATCGATGGCCCAAGTCGTTCAAATACAAATTTCTATCACATTTTTTCATTGCATGATGAACAATATATTGATATGTAATCCGAAAATTCAATAAATTTGCTTTAGAAAGAGTGCGTATAATGTTTCTTTCATTTTGTAATTTTTCAATTGAATTGAGCCATTGATTCATAAAATGTACTCATAAAATATATAGCCAACACGTGCTGATGATGACAATGATGATTAAATCTTAAAATAAACAGAATATAACGCACAATATGCTTTGATTTTTTTTACATCAATAAGAAATATTCTTTTGGAAAAACATTTAGTTAAAATTGTGGTTTGACTTTGAATTTTCTTTTATTGATTTGGATGGTTTCTAGTTTTTTTTTTTTTTGTATCTTTCTTCAACCTAAGGTACGCCGTAATGAATTTATATTGCGATATTTATTTGGCATTTGAATCATTTGAAGATTTTATCGTCCATATTTATCATGTACGCATCGAACCTGATCGAGTCATGAACGTGAACAAAATAATCGATTAATCGAATTTGATGATGATGTCTCACATAGTTGAGTTTCGATTATGTTTGGTACGATCGATATTTCACGTATTGCCTCAGTATTGAAACGATTGTGTAAAATCAAAAAGAATTACATCGATTTGAAAAATTTCAATAAATTTTGAAAGCTCGTCTATTAAATAGATTATCGATTTGTTTTAGCTCTCCGCATGTTATTTTCAAATAGCTTGAGTGTTTCTCTCTTTCTCTCCAAAAAAAAGTCAAATTCTGGCATTTGCAAACAAAAATTCAATAGAGAAACGAAATCCGACAATCCTACTTTCAAGGTATGTTATAAATATAATATACGCAGTGCTCGGAAGGAAATTTTAACATTTAAAATATACAATGTGATCGTAAATTGAGAGAAAAAGCTTAAAGAAAAGTTCATGTGTTTTGATTTTGATTTATTATTTACTGAATAAATGCACATAATGTAATTACAATATCGATCATCTTCTTTAATTGTTCGAAGAAAATATTTTTGTTCATAATGAATATTGTTGCTTCTTAAATTCAATTTTCTTAAATAATATTTCAATTATGTTTCAATTGTGTTTGTTAATGTTCAAATTTATGAAAATGATGAGCATCGATAAAAATAAATAATAAAAGTGTAAAAGTAAACGTTGTTGGCAAAAAAGTGCACCGAACTTCAGATGCTTTCTTTTGGAAATGCCGGTGTGTACTGTGTACACTATACACTATGTGTACAAGTCGAGTTGTACTTCAATACCTCTCTTACACTCCTTCACTACATATGTATCGTGCATTTATAAATGTGTTTTTTGCTCGCATCTCTGTTTCTCTATTTGTATTTATACAGGAAAATTTATGGCATTAGTTCATTCGAAGTTTTTATTTATGCGTCCGAAATCTGATATTTTGAAAATTAGTGTAATTTACTATTAAATTTGAATACGTTCGCCCGAAAAGCATCTTGTCACTTGGTGAGTGTTAGTGTTGGGTGTGTGTGTGTGTGAGAAATCGTTTAAATGAGCTTTCGGTCTATCTCATTCACACCGAACGACAAGTTATCCATGCATTTTAGTGCCTCTGACGTTGTGACCATTTAAGTTTGTGATGACAATCAAATGTACGTTTAATACCTGAGGATGGCTATATGTGTGTTGTGTATCTGTGGCTGAAGGTGTGTGTGTGCATGTGTTTTTGGCATGTTTGTTCATTCGATTCGTTCAACATTTTAATACGTGTTATGGTGTACATCTCTCGATCTCTCGACAACCAGAACAGTTGATACAATTTTAGCGTTATAGTTAAAATCATTTAAAATTATATTATCACATTAATTTTGTAGCAAACCGTTCCGATTTAAGTTTGAAAATGGGTTAATTATAATTTAATGGATTGTATAAATTGTAGTTCTGTTGTTGGTTTCACTGTTTTGAACTCAGTTCCATTCATTTGACTGAATGGGTCCAGTTTTATGTTAGTCAACTTTTACAATCATATCGTTTTTTGTATTTTGTGAATTATTTTGTCGTTGGCATTCGCTTTAACACAACTACTAACTTACGATACTTAGATTCAATTGAATGAGATGCATTGAATAAGTGCATGGAAGTGATTTAGGTGCAGTATCTATCCAATAGTCTTGACATATTGTTATTTATTCTCTTTTATTTTCATCCCATTTTTTGGCCAAACAACTAACGTACATTTTATCACTGAATTTTCCCTGAAAATTGACCCTTTCCCATTTTTCGATAAAAGAAAAAATGTGCGAAATAAAGAAATATCTTCCAATATACGGTATTTTAAAATGAACAAAAGCAAAAGCGACGTTAAACAGTAATCCGACATATGCATATACCATATATGCTTGATATTAGACTTTTTGAGTGACAGATTATACAGTACACAAAATATACATATGCAGCCCATTCCCCACATCTCACAGTCTGAAATAATTTGGGTGACGATAACATGAATACAATTGCTGTGATTTTAAGAATCAAAGATAATTTTAACATCTAAACGTAACGGAAACACTTTAACGCCTCCCTGATTACAGTATTTTGATTCTACTCCGTACATTAATCAAGAATAATGTGCTTCATGAGATTATTTGGTATAGAAAAACAAATTCAGAACAAAACTTAACACGCACATGCATCACGCAAACAAAATTGTGTATACCAATATGTGCGACGACATACAATACAAAACTTTTATGATTATGTTGTTAAATATGATTCTGGTTTAAAGGTAGATGATCATCAAAGATGATGAAGCCGCAAAAGTTTATGTTTTTTTACTTCTATCCATTCCATTTATATCTGAAAGTGATTAAAAACAAAGAATCATTTTCGGTTGATCTTTCATGTGTCCCAACGGTGCACACAAGTTACACATAATTTATGTTTACGTTGAACATTCTTCTAATAGGAAGGGAAAAAACATGCGAAAACAAGCAAACAAAATTATAATTTCCTTTATAACGCAAGAAAATTGGAATGGCTGTCAAAATTCTTGACAACGAAAAAAAATTAGAAATGCAAGCAATAATTGAGTCAAGTGTGAAAGTACTCGAGATGGTGAAAGAGAATGAATAAAGAAATGAATCTAAACCATGAAAACAAACATGAATATATCACATATATTTTCGGGGCGGTGTTTGGAAATGATAAAGCCTCACAAATCGTTCTTGAAATTACATGCAAAAGTGTAGAACTGAAGGTGTCTTTTTTTGTATTGCTGTCAGGGCGCATTTTTTTTAAATGAGAAATATTGAGAAAGATAGAGTGCCGAAGAAAGAGAGACAGAGAGAAAGAGACAGGAAAGGTGAGATGACAGAGAGAAAGATTCTAGATGATGATGTATGCGCGCTGGCATGTGAATATTTAACGATTAAATAATCAATTAACATTAAATATTAATAATTATGATTTATCAATGTCAATGATGTACGAGCATGTGTGTTTATGTATATGTATTTATAACGCGGGTGAAAGCGTCAAGACAGATGCGACCGTTCTATATGTAATATGATAACTTTTTTTCTCTTGTCTAATGCAAAATAAGCAAGACCTTTTATTTGTTCAGATTGCTCATTTAACTTACCCAACACTTTATATCTTTTCATGCAAATGAATACCTAGCTCCATGTTTAAATTTATTATGAATACGCCTTTGTTGTTGGTATTAGCATGAGATGAAAAAAAAAACAGTTGCGTTTTGTATAATATTATAACGTTTATTTTTTTTTTTTAAGAACCATGTGTTGAAATCACGACCATCCATAAATATATATAATTACTATATATGATGATATTCGGACAATGAATTTGCATGTTTTATCATTTTGCTCAATTTTCTTAATTACATTTGATTGGATTCTAACCGTTGTTGATGTCTGCAATTATTGGTCTGGTCGCTATGTGGCAGAGTCGGCTTGAGGTTTATCCGAATCATATCGTACGTATTTATCCATTTCGAATTCTTCATCATCACGAAAATCTTTGTCAACGACTAACACTTGGACAATGTCCTCAAATTCATAGGTACGCTTTAGGAATGTGTCGGTGATTTGAAGTTGTGTCACAGATATGAGGCCAAGTTTGGCTGGAAATACGCTTAGGCGAAATTCTTTGCTTGCTTCCGGTTCAATGGTACCGAGTAAAAAATCCGTTGAGCCCGTATATTGACATCCAAAGTCCGGTTTGGCATGCAATTTTAATTGCAATTCCATGACACGTTCGCTGGTATTTGTGACACGGCACATAAAATCAAATACTTCGCCAATTTTAACAATGTTCTTTGCTTCAATTACCGTCAATCGTATGTCACCATATTCGATGGGGCTTCGTTCCAATTGACTAGTTTGTAATCGGCCACGTTCTCCCAAATTCGATCGCCATAAAATATCCAATTTTCCAATATTTTTCTCCAATTTTAGTTGCTTTAAATTGCCGGCCAGCTCCGCTATTGGTTTAATACAGTATAAAAATTGACATGAATTTTGCGGTTGTAGCATATTTTTTGATTTAAACACCGATTCACCATTCGATAATGTATTTAATGATGTGACAGTGTATTTATCGGTGTTCTGCAATTCAACGGTTTCTAAGCAAATCGGTCCGGCGGTAATATTTTGAATTTGTACCTCTAAATAAACCTCATCCGTTTCGGCATTGTAAAATTTTGTTTGAACATCTAATGGTTTTAATACATGAAATTTAAAAAATTTACGAAAACTCTCATCCAAACCGGCTGGCGTTTTATAATGAACTTCACAAACCAAAATATGAACACCAATTTCACGTACTTCATGGTGAATTACATCATCGATCGTTTCATTTGGATTCAATGTTATGTTCATCGGTTTATTTTCGTTGATGGGCAATGATATTTTTGCCTTGTCCGATTGCAATTCGGCCGATACGGTAACACCTTGCACCGGATACGTTGTACAATTATGCAAACAAATATAACTGGAAAATGTCTCGCCCAAATAAATATTACCAAAACTTTGTGGCAATAACATGAATTGACCGCCGGCTATAGTTGAACCTTTTACATTTGTTGCATCATTTTCACACAACTGATTGAACAATTTTCCGGGTAAATCAGTTGATTCCGATACAATCACATCAGGCGATACCAATGTTGGTCTTGTTAATCGCATCACTTTTAATGCCAACAAATGATCCTTTTTTGGTTGAACGACTGCCATTTTTTTCTCATATATTTTTTATAATTATCTTACTTTACAATTTTTCTCACTCACTTTATACCGTATTCCAACTTTATTTCATTTAAGGCAGTTTAGTTTTATAATTGAAATGACGATTGAAAATCTAGCAACATTTTCATCGTATTGTGTTTACCGAAAATGTATATAGGCTTACACGTCAAACGAACTGTCACACAAGCAAATGTCATGCGCACTATTTACGCGTCATTCACAATAGCACTTTTATACATATAATCAACATAGTTAAGTACACAAGTATATAAAATATGTATTTGGATAGCACAGAAGCACAGTATTCAATCGAATGAAAACCAATTTAAATTCTCTTTTAGCATCCGATTTTAAATGCAACGACCAATGATATGCGTACATTTCAATTTTAGATAGAGAGCAATAGAGAAAAGTGGATTTTTAATGTTACTTAAAAGTATACTTTTGTATTGATACATTGGACTCTTTTTAATGTACAACTGCAAATGTTATAGGAATGCGATGTGAATTTACCATGAAAAATACGTTATTAAACTGGATAAACGGTGAACACAGAACAAAAGTATCGATTCAATTTATCTTCAGAGTGTTTAGATGAAACGGTCAAGATTAATGGAATTTATTTTGATTTGTTTTTTTTTTCTGATTCATTTTACCCACTCAAAACATACATCGAATCTGCAGTTCCAGTTCGAACAAGATTATCCTATTAAAAATCATTATTTCGCCTCTGTTTTTTTATTGAGATTTAAAAAAAATCAATTCATTCACCACAATTTGAAATTGGAATTAACTGCTGAATTCAATTGAATAAACGAAATTCATTGATTTTTTTTTGGCCAACACCTGGTGTGGTGTTTTATTTTTTTTCTATCCAAACACTTTGTATAGCATAATACATTGAAGTCAATTGTTGCATGTTTAAAAAAAACAGTATTAAAAAACTTTCATAATCTGACATAAATATTACAAGTGGAATGGCCTAGAAGCATGGATTATACTTATTCAAGAGTGTTGCATTTATTTGAATTTCAATAAGTTTCACTTGAATTGTAAATGCAAAACCATTTAAAAATACTTATCTGTGCCACATATTAGTCTTCCATCATTTTTCGTCGTGATAACAATATTAGAATTATTCGAAGATTTGGAGCTCATGATTAATTTCGATCAGATATGTAATTAATATTGAACGATCAAATGTTGAGTATATTTCATACACTGTTACCGTATGTTATAAATGCATTTCCAAACAATCCAATTGATGTCATGCCATAACTGATTATAAACTCAACATAGAAATTCTTTGAAATGTAAATTCACATGACTTTATGTTCTTATCATTTGGTATAATAGATCCATCTAACAAAAGTATGTGTGAAATGGGTGCAAAATAGTTGCAAGACCGAAGATACCAAGAGATTGAGCGAGATTGGATTGAGTAATAAAAAAAAAATGAACGAGAAAAAAATAAGCGGAGATGCAAATACCTGTAACGCAACGTATTTATTCGTTAACGAGCCATGGAAATGGAATAAGTGAAATGAGACCAAACGATAGATTCAATTACCCAGAAAAGAACAAAATGTCAAGCTTAAGCAAGTGACATAAAAAAAGATATCGGAATTTATGCAAACAAGTTTTCCAAGTGAAGAAAGAAACACATGCAAACATAAACAACGAATGATGCCTAACGAAGAGTCATTCTCTCCCTCACTTGCTTGCATTGTCATTTCTTGCCCTAGGTAGCCAATGAAGTTATGTACAGTGTGTATTTTACGAAGAAGATATTTTACCGTAATCTGCTTGATGTTAATAAAGTTCGATATAAATCTTGTGGATAAATAGTATGTTGGCACGATATTTACCATTTGACTTTTGGTACGGTACAATGTACAATACATTCATCGTTCGTTATCACTCACTTTTGAACATCGATGCTTATTGTGAAATTGAAAGGTTGGATAATCGGTTTCGAGTGAGCTATACGGCTTTTTCAAAGACTTTTTACACAATCTGAGCTAAACAACAGTCGGTAGATTCGATTTTCGATATTTCAAACTGGGAAAGCCGATGCATAATGGTGATTTCAATCGTTTTACCAATACTTCGAAAAACTTTCAATCAAAACACAAGACTTTGACATTTTTACGTGTCAGAAGGAGAGAAATAACCAAATGCAAAAAAAATTGAGACATTTTACAGGTGAGTCATCACTTTCTGCACAGTGTCTGCAACAATGAAGTGATTTTCAGTCATTGTACAGTGTGAACAAATCAGTTCGCATAAGTTAAAGGATTTATTAGCAACTTTAATCAATTTGATGCGGATGAGCACATTTCTCCAAGGAATGGAAAAGGAAATCGAATAATAGAACGATAGTACTTTTATGGAAAAAGAATTAAACAACAAACTGGATCGTTAGGAGACCATGTGAGCTTCAACCATTTTTATTTTCTCACATTTTGAGAGTAATTAATGAGACAGTTTTTTTGTCAACATTTATTATTGTCATTGAATTTTCCATTTTTAAAAGCATACTTCTGCTGGCGTCACAATAAATTTTCTGTTTTAGCATGGGTTATATCCGTTTTAAATATTTTTTTATACTATCACTATACGCTTTAAGCAAAATTCATGTTTTTTGAGATAAAGTATGTCTAATATCTCGTTTGTAGATTAGCAACAAGGCAAGGGGCTTAATACGGCAAAAAAATTCACAGGAATTCACGTAAATTCACACTTTTGAATCGAGTGGTTATTGATGAGTTCGGTGAATTCGTGTGAATAGAATGAAATGTGTCAAAGTAATAAAGTGAGGTTATGATAACCGCAATATTTTTTAATTTATTATTTTTTCAATATTTCCGATTGTTTTCGATAGAAAATCGCTCAAAATTGAAAATAAAATTAATTTTTATTAAAAAAATATAAAAAACATTTACAATTTTGTTACACAAAATATAAATATTGCAGTAATTTCCAGCAGAAGCTATTCACCACTATCTCACATATTTGAATGAAATCGCCGTAGAATTCACCGGAATTCATTCGTTTGCAGAAAAATTCAGTTAATTTAGATATTATTATAGAATTCAGTCGTTGAAAATTTTGAATTAAGCCCCTAGCAACAAGGTAAGTGAAGTATTTACTATGATAAGGTGTTTATTTACTATTTATTTCGATACTTAATATAAGATGAGTATGTCGCTCGTAAGCTCTTCTCTCCTTAACCGAACTTTTCGTATTCTTTCTTATTTTATGTGTTGTGAAATTCGTAATATGTCTGCTTCTAAACAAATTTCTTCAGTGAAAACACCGAAAAAAAAGAACAAATGTAGATTGAATCATTTTTGAAATTGAATTTCCTTTTGAAAGTTCCATTGAACATGTTTTCGTAAGCAGATTGTTGATGGGGTTAGATTTCCGATGCGATAAAGCATTACATAGAAGCCGCTTTGTTCACCAATATAAAGCAATTTCATTTTGTTTCTGAGATCACATGCACAACATCTTTATTATCGTTTTTACTAAGAGTTTAATTCGATTTGGAGCAAAAAGCATTCATTTGAATCAACGCTCGGCATGAAGCACAAAGTTAGCAAGAAAAAACGGTGTCAAACCTTTTTTCGGTGAAAAATTTGATTGTTTCCTTTTAAGCGGCTCAATTTTTTTTACTTGGACCTTTACATATAGATTTGGGGCTTTTTTTCTTCACCTCAATTAAGTCGACAGTGAATATATGGATCCGTATTTTATACCTTACCTTACACAGACACCTCTCTAATTTTCTGTGTCACAAACTTGATTCGAGCGACACTTTCGTTTACGATGATACGCAATACAAACAGATTCGAATTAAGTTAGACACAATTCCATTTTAATTAAAATGTTTGAAAATAAATTACTCTTCCACATCGGATGACGAATTTATAATGTTTGACACTATTTGAGTCACTTTCTTTTTTGTTCGTTGCTTTATGCGTGCGTACGAATTGCATTCAATATATTTCAAAGTGATTGCCAAAAGCGACAATGTAATAATCCATTGAATGGTCGATTATTACAAACAGATTTAGAAAATATGGCATGTGTTGGTATCGCTTTAGGCGCCAGCACAAAGATGACAATGATTGTCTCTCACACATTTTGACTTTAATTCAATTTTATGCGCCACTGATTCGTTTCCGCGATTTCGTCATGGAGATCTGTTTGTAACGCACACTCTGCGTCATTTTGTTTACCTATTCACAAATTGTGGGTAATGGCACACACACACACACAAAACTCCACCAAATCATTCGGTGAGTGCTTTTTTTAAAATGTTACTTTACAAAATGTTGACTTGTTATTTGGCCTCTGTTTTGAGGTTGTCAGCTCAAACATGTTGTAGAAAATTTTTAGGGTAGTTAGCATGAGATTTTTCTGTGTACATTTAATTTTACGCTCGACCATACTTAATGGCCGATCATTTTGCTTTTATCGTAAACGAATTTTGGGTGCCGCTTTTGATCAAATGAATATGAGTTGAAATGTTGTTGTGAACAATTTCACTCAAATCACAAATTTCATTAATGCACATAGATCGAAAGAGTGGATTTTGGCTACCAATCAACATGGATTTATTTAAATTTATCCATGAAAGTGTATTTTTCCCTTTCTGAGTTTTTATCGTTTCATCACAACAGAAATGCGAATTTCATTAAAAAATAATCCCGACATTTCCATTGAAAAAAAGATCAATATTAAATAAACAATTTGGAATTCTAACGTTCATTAGAACTTAATGTGCGTTTCATATAATTAGCTCACTACTGGGGAGTACGAAATTGAATTTCATTTTTTGAACCTTCTTCGGATTTCGTTTTTCTCTACGGAATTTTTTGTCCAATACCATAATTTTAAATTTTTATGAATTTTCACTAAAAAATGCATATTATGGATGCAGTTAAAATATGCACTTTCTTCCAATTATAGTAAAACTATGGCAAAATTATAGTGGTCGCATCCGAATTTCGAAAACAATGGACCAATCAAACCTCGTAATCATTTCTATTTATATAAATGTAAAATATCAAATGTAAAAGTATCAAATTGTGATTTCAATAGTAATTTTTCGATTAATTCTCTATTTTACCACGATTGTTTATTCA